TTCTTATATTACTGAACAGCAGTGAGTGAATAGCCAAATGCCGCTCAGCTCTGTGGGACCGAGCAGGACAGAAAAATAGTTTAAAAAGTAGAAAAAAATAAATAGAAAATGATTGTGCGGAGCTAGCAGTGACATCTAGCTCCGCCCAACTGTTTTCTATTGGCCGGCGGCTCTGCTGCCGTAAAAAACAAAAAAACCAAAAAGAAACACTGCTTTTTCTTTTTTTTTCTTTATTCTGACACGGAGCCGTGTAAGAATAGAAAAAAAATAAAATAATTTTTGGCCATAGGAATGCATTGCTAGATTCCTATTGGCTATTTCAATCTGCAATAGCCAATAGCAGACTAGCTATTGTACCCGCCCTCTGCTGCTGTCAATCAGAAGTGGTGGACCTAATGGAGAACTGCAGCAGAGGGCGGGTGCAATGCTAGTTTGCTATTGGCTATTTCAAATTGAAATAGCCAATAGGAATCTAGCAATGCACTCCTATGGTAAAAAAAAAAAATTCCATTCTGCCGCGGCTCCGTGGCAGAAAAAAGAAAGAACAAGCAGTGTTTCTCTCCTTGGTGGCCGGGAGCAGGAGACTCCCGGTGCGCCAGGGAGAGTTAGCTGTTTGGAGATTAGTGTCTCTGGTTAGCAGGTAACCAGAGACGCTGATCTCTCTGCAAGTGGTCGGAGCCAGCCGTAAGATCAAGGCTGGCTCCGCCCATGGCCAGCTTCGGCTTTCAGCGCGGCTCAGCCGATGCATATGCGTTCGGCTTGACTGAGCCGCTCGGCCAAGTACGGGAGCTGTACAGGCTATAGTGAATAGCCCGTACAGCAGCCCTTCGGTTCTACTGAAACGAAGGGGTCCGGGGGCCGAAGCTAGCCGAAGGATCGGCCGAAGCTATGGCTAGATCCTTTGGCAGCTTAGTGAATAGACCCAATAGTAAAAAATAAAAACCCCAGTGGTGATTAAATACCACCAAAAGAAAGCTCTAGTTTTTGTAATTAACTGCAATTAATTTGTAATTAACTGAGGACATAGTATGCTTACTGTGTCCCCAGTTATACATGAACAGGAAGTGCTCTACATCACTTCCTGTTCATTTATGATTGTGGACATGTGCAACTCATACTATTTCCAGTTTATGAATGGACAGGAGTACTCAGTATAGAGGCTTCATGTTTATTCATAACAGGGGCTGCAGAAAAAGAGATTGAGGACTCTATGTCCTCAATCTTTTTTTCTATATTAAAAAGGCAATTCCCGGGGTCCAAACAGCCCCAAAGCCTCTAACAGTAAAGTCAATAAAAAATTAAAAAATAACAAAAAAATTTAATTTTTTTTAAAGGTTGGGGAAAAAAAAGTAATTTTTGGTTTTGGCCTGACAATTGTTTTTTATTTTGGTTTTGGTCTAAAAATTTAATTTCAGTGCATCCCTGGTTATCAGTCCTTCCTTCCTGATGGACTACAGAACACCTCCCCTTAATGTTATGTTATGTTAATGTTTTCTAGTTCAGCAAAATAAAAGTGGGCAGGGCTGACAACACGGCTTGGGATTTCAGTGCAGCAGAGGCAATGCGTTAAAGCTCAAGCAGAAGGTCAGAAGCACACTGAACTTCTGACAAAGCAACAAGTATATGTCTGTACCTGCAGTATTATAAGAAGCAGGCATCAATGAGGGTGGGCAAGTGATGACTATTTCTCTGGCACCTGGAAGCCCAGCTGCCGTAGGCTGTAATTGACAGTTCACTGTCCTGCTCTTCAGTGCCTGCAGCCCACCCACCTTACTGACATCACAGATGTTCAGGTGAATTGGGGCAGATTTAAGATCCAAAAGTGCATCATTTGGGGTCGACCTCAGGTCTGAAGATGCACGGATTGGCATGAATTACTTGTAAAATTGAGAGTACACAAGAGGTTGCTGTAAAGGAATTCTGTGATATATAAAACATTAGACTGTACATAAAAGGCTCTTCTCTGCAGTTAATGTTAGTTGCACAACTGGTGAGGGTTTGTTTGTTTTCTTTAAGTGTTGGTAACATTGGCTGTTCATTTTAGGGCTTGTGTCGATAGGTTTTGGGTTGCAAAATTACTTTTGACATCAGTTTCAGATGCTTCTGAGATCATTCATAAGTGATTGCTGGTGAATTTGGCCTCCACTTATGTTCCTGCAGATCTAAGTGGGCACCATAATTACCATAAGTTCTGAGTGTGCACCATAAGTTCATGCCCACATAAAAACCATGCCATCCAGTTCTGTATACATGTGGGTTTATGCTCAAATTTCCAGTTTGTTGATTGCTGATGTCAGTCAAATGAGGTCATTCTTAGGTCTCTTATAAAAGATAGCAATCTTTTTTCTGCATTAAGTCTCAAGTCTTAACAAAAATTGATAATACTCAATGCTGGAGCAAGGCAAGATTTGGTTATATTAATGCTGGGTAAACCTATATGAATAGGGATGCACCGTAATTTTTAGACCGAAACCAAAATGAAAAATATGTCAGGTCAAAACCGAAATACTTTTTTTTCCAACCTTTTAAAAATTGATTAAATAATTTTCTAATTATTTTATTTTATTTATACATTTATTTATTTTACTTTACTGTCGGGGACTTTGGGGAAACATCAGGGGTCTAAACAGAACCCTAATATTTCCCTTTTAAAATAGACACAGAGTCCTAAATCTCTGTTTCTGCAGCCCCTGTTATGAATGAACAGGAAGCCTCTATCCTGAGTACTCATGTCCATTCATAAATTGTGGAAATAGTATGAGTTACTATGCCCACAATCATGAATGAACAGGAAGTGATATAGAGTACTTCCTGTTCATTCATAACTGGGGACACGGTAAGCATACTATGTCCTCAGTTCTATACAATCACTAAGCAATCAGTCCCGACTGCTGATTGCTTGTAACCCACTCTCCATCCTGAGTGCTCCACCTGCCACAAGAGGCCGAGTGGTGCGGCAGGAGAGCTCGGCTTCCAGTGACAGCTGTCTTCTCCCCGCATCACCCTGCTCGGCATTCTGACAGCTTCTCTCCTCCCTGCTGATCTGTGTCCCCGCTGATCCCTGCTGCCTCTGCCCACACAGGCACTGCCTCTGCGCACACAGACCGGTGCCCAGCAGAGAGGAGAGAAGCTAGGAATGCACTCACTTTTCAACTGCATTTTCGGCCATCTGTTTCATAATTTCATAGTAAATCTGTATAGCCAGATGAAATACACTAACAAGCCAACATATGCTTTAAAAACATTAGAGAGGGTACACTTCTCTCTTGGCTTCAGAATGGATGGGGGCAGTTTTGTGGGTATGCTTAATTTACCTTGCTACCCTTTTCCCCTGCTGGAAGAGGTAAGGCACAGTTGAAGAGATGGGAATCCAGGATGCCTCAGGTCTGTGTATGCGTGTACTAGAATACCCACATATTGTATATCCAGTTCTAACACACCTCCAAATTCAAGCATAAGGTCAAAGTCCCATGGCTAGCAAAGTATTCAATCTATGTTTTACAGATATATACTTTTTCAAAATATTTAAAAAACTCCAGGAAACTTTTTTAACCCTTGCATTGGGGCTACCCCTGCACTGCAAGGAAAGCTGTTTAAAAAACTTAGAATCTTGTATAATTGACTCAAAAACCATTATAGCTTCCCTGTCTTGAGATAAACAGGGAATACAATTCATAACAGGATTACCGTATTTTTCGCTCCATAAGACACACTTTCCCCCCCACAAAAGTCGGGGGAAAATGTGTGTGCGTCTTATGGAGCAAATCCCTATTGCCCGACGCCCGGAACATGCAGTTTCGGGCGCCAGGCGAGTACTTTTCTGGATATTTAGCATGAGTCCGCCCCCCCCCCCGCTGTGGTCACAGCGCCAACTGTCTCAGCGGTCACTAACTGCAGCTTCTGTAACAGTTTCTGTCACAGAAACTGTCACAGAACCTGCCTGCGTTCTATGGTCCGGTGCGCCTTTTGGAGCGCAAAATAGGTTTTTTAAACTCCTCTGTATGCAGATCTAGTATGTATTTGCATTAATAAAAAGCATCCTTATTTTGTGTAATGGTTTGCATTAGAAATAATGGGTACAGTGCAATATAAACACTGGAGTTGTGTCATGCCAAACACTTTGGCATGACACAACAACTTGAATGTTGGGGCATTTTTTTTCTTTGCAGGATTGCAGGTACGCAAGCCCAAACTTATACTGGTTCTCAGTTGTCTCTAAGGTAAAAGCCCAAAATGTTAATGGAATTCTGCATTCATACCTCCCAACTCTTGCTCATTTGGAGTGACTTTCTCTTTTAAATCCCAATCCCTCTGTCCTTCTTAGGTGTTCCTCTTTTTGGTTTGCTGTATAGCTAATTAATTTAATGACCAAAAGTGTTATTCTGCACTTAACTAAAACCTTCATCTTATCTCTTAATTATCTTGTTTGCTTTTTTTTTTGGAAAAGTCAGTATAAAAGAAAAGTTATGGTGAAAAAAAATCTGGGTTTATCCAATCATTTTTGGCATTTAAAATTGTAATGGTCCACATAACTGTGGGTGTGGCAGGGGTGTCCCCATTGACTAAATACTGGTGCTGGAAGGTGTCTCTCTTTCTCATCACATGATCTCAGGTATGGCCATTTTGGAAATAAACTGTAGGCTGAGCAAAAGTGTATGATGAGTGAATATATGTGGCAAAATTGCAGTAAGCCAAAAAAGTTTATTACAAATGACTCATTTGTACTGCGGTCACAAAGAAAGCAAATTCAGTTTTCCAAAACCTTTATTTCAAGTGACATATAATAAAAAATAAAAGAAATATTTAACAAATACCCTCTGTTATTTGCAAGAAGGCTTTGTATACAAATCCCGAATAGTAAAGAAGTACCATACAGTAAGAGATATATACAAAATATATTTCAAAAATGTTGTAGAACAAGCAATGTTTGTACATAAAATTGACATTCTAAAATAAACCGAACAGAAATGATCTGGCCATCCTTTTTTAGGATGGTGACCATGCGTCTAATTACCAGAAATGTATTGCAGAAGACATTTACTGGGCAATGTCATAGTAATAATTGCGTAGTTTAATTTCAACACTGGCAAATTTAGGGCGGTCTTCAACACTGTGAAATGAGAGAACAAAAAACATTGTTAAGTAAAAGTATTACAGAGGCTCACTTGATTATCCAAAATCATGTATAACATTCTTAGTCAAACATTCATTTTTAAATTGTAAAAAAAAAAAATCTTCTGCAATATATTCTTTTCTTTTAAAGAGGAAGTTTAATCTGCCTACATTTTGACTTACCTAGTCCCTTTCTGCCATCAACATGCTAGTGACATTTAAAAAAAAAAGTTTCTGTTTTTGTTACATGCCATATTTTAGACCCACTGATGTAATCAGTGGGTCTCTGTGATCCAGATCATGGCCGTTAGGAGTGCCTAGCAAGGTGCGGTTTAAAGCTTCCTGAAAACATCACAGCCCCCTACCTCAGTACTCCTCTTAAGAGCCCACAGCTCTGATGCAAGCAGTGGGCTGGCTCTTGGGAGAAATTATGTGAAAATCAAAATGCCTTGATGGATGGATGTCAGGTAGGAGTTCCTACGTGACATCCTACCTGAAGCATTGTGTTTACCTTTGCTTCTACAGCTTGTTTATATGGAGCAAACTGTAAACATTTTAGAAGCCCAGGAGCTGATCGTTTTAGGTAGCTTAGAGCTGTGTCCCGGCTGTCAGACAGCTGGTGGCCCCAGCGCTACTGCCGGGAGGGTCCTGCAGAACCTGCTAAGACTGGCGGCCATTTTAAAACAGTTCTGGGGCGAATAGCTGCCATGCTTACACTGTTTTAAAATGGCAACCGGGGCTCAAGTAGTTAAACATATGCAAATATACCCACATTTTTCAGTATTTTACCTTCCTAGCACTTTTGCTCAATATAGTATTAAATACCATGAAATTGCCTCCCCCATGATGCTAATGTTAACATAGACCACACCGGGAAAAGCATGTCTGGCATACATCTTGGTGTTAAAAAAGGATGTTGGCATGTAATTGCCTTGCATTAATACATTAAAATGAGCAACTCTGCATCCCTGTCTTGGCTTCCTAGCTGTTCGATCTGTACAAATATATGAAGGTCCTCTGTTTATACACTTCTATATTGCTGCTAGATATGGGATACAGTGATGGCTAATTTCATATTTCATAAAATCCCTAAGGAGCTGCCCTAGTAGTAATACATGGAAGGGATATCTTCCAACCCTTTCATGTCCAGGGGTCATTGAAGCCTAGATAAGGCCAAATATAGCATCATCAATGTGTTTTGGTTGATTTGACAATAACTATATGACTCTTTTGCCTACCTAAATATTTGTTGCATTTGTTTATGTAAAGCATACAGTATAAGGCTTATATTGTCATTTACAGTCAGGTTTAACAGCTAGCAGCCACACACAGTGTCGGTGGCTGTTTGTTAAAGTTTGAATGTAGATTAACGTTCTGATGCAAGAAGAACACACAAAAGAAGCCCTGCTCCTACACGGCTCAGGAATGAATGAGCTTGGTGCTTGGCGCTTGGAGCACGTCTTAGCTCCAAAACCAGCCCATACAATCAGAAGAAAAGCTCGCTGCACATCGTATTCCACTGAGATAGTTTATTTAAGTTTGTACCACATCACCAAAGTCCACCGCCTTTGATGCATTTTACGCAATCACAGACTTTGTTATAGAGATTAATTTAACATAGTAGATTAACGCTCTCTCAACATGGGGCATCGAACAGGGGAACATTAATCTATAGATTGTGGACAGAAGCGGTTAAATTAACTGTATATTGCACAGTGTTTTTGTTTGACGACCTACCTGTCTTTGGAAATAATATATCAGAAATTCCAATGTCATCAAGTTTTGTAAAATTAAACATATGAACTCAATACTCACTTGGATGTCCAGCATAATTTCATTAAGTCATATACTTCAGGTGGACACCGGGGTGGGCACTCCATACGTTTTCCACTTTCAATCATCTGCGTCACCTCTCCGCCTTTCATTCCCTAACAGAATATATGTTATAATAAATAAACATTATATTGTACACTGTATTCATTACATTTCAACTGAACCTGCAGATAATGGAAATAGATACTGAAGGCAATTTATAATATAAGTGCAAACATGTTCTAAAATGGAAGCTGGAGTCTGGCTGGTTGCTTTGATAAACATGTTGATATTGAATTTCCCTGTATCTTCCCTTACTACCATGAGCTAATAATTGGACCCCCTCATCTACATCACTTAGTAATAAAACAATCTTTTCATTATGAAAATGTTGGACCAATGTTCTAAAAGCTCAGCTCCCGTCCTTTGTTTTACTTTGGGGCATTTCTAATAAATAATGCTTGCTGCATCTTTGCTGCAGATTCTCACAAGCTAATCCTCCGTAGAGATGAAAAATACCAGGTCCTAAATATGTAAAAAGGACAGCATTATGCTTGAAAAACATATAGGTGAGAATGGATTCTAAGTTCTTTGTAACCATATCAACATTGTGTAACATAAATATTACCACTGTGGAAATGACCTATTTTATCTAGGTGTTATTTGGTTAGGGTATGTACCGCCCAAGTTGTTCCAATATATCCTAAAACATGTTTTAGAGTCCAGGTGAAACCATTGTACACATTTGTTAGAAATGCTTTGGGTTAATTAAATTCTGATCTATAATCTATACTCTCCTATTCACATTTTAATATTTTGATGAGGTCCCAAACAATCCTTAACAAAAGTTAGCCACTAATATCTTTTTATCTTATCTTTTGGAATGAGACATTGACATGTTATGCAGAATTCCACAACAAAGGTAGTGTGCACATCATTAATATAAGCATGCCAGCATTTTAAGGGTTCAGGTTGTAACGCAGGGTACAGATGAAGAGGTATAGCTCAGAGGTCAGGGACACTAAAAGCAACCATGTGTACTGACTTATAAAGTCCTATTTAACTTGGGCCCCGCCTATCTGACAGATCTTTTGGTTATCTGTACTCCTACATGCTTCCTCCGCTCCTCAGAGAAAGCAAAATTACACATGCTCTGAGTTGTCTAAAAATCTTTTGGATTCTGTGCATTCTATTATACAGCACCTACAACATGGAACTCACTTCCATCCATTGCCTGGAAATGGGAAACAACCTCTCTTCATGTTTTTAAAAGCAGACTTAAGGATTATAGCACCTGACAAATCCTATTCAAATATCCCTACACCAATTTTAACCACTTGAAGACCAGGTGTTTAACCCCCTTCCTGGCCAGGCCATTTGTCAGTATTCAGCGCTGCAGTACTTTGACTGGCATTTATTCCATCATGCAACGCTGTACTGAAATGAATTTTATACAATTTTTTTGGGGACAGATAGAGCTTTCTTTTGGTGGTATTTAATCACCACTGGGGTTTTTATTTTTTACTATGTTAAGGAAAAATTACTGAAAATTTTTATTTTTTTTTCTACATTATGTTAGGAAACAATTATTATTACCCAATTTTTTGGTAAAATATAAAAGACGGGGTCCCGTTGGTTAAATAGACACCAAACATGTCAAGCCTTAAAATTGTGCGCACCCACGAAATCGCAAAAAACTACCATTCCCAAAATTGACCATAGGCGACACTTTAAAAGCTTTTACCGTTTAGTGTTATCAGTGATTAATGGCCCTAAAATGATTGCTCTCACTGCGACGTTCACGGCCATATGTAACATGTGCGGCGTAACAGGCGTAATTGTCATTTCCACTGTGTGACTTTAATTTTTAATTTTTTCAACTTTAATCTTTTTTCCTATTTTGTTTTCCACTTAACGTTATTGTTATCACATAGGGTGCTAAGAAACTCTCTATGTGATAGCAAAGAGATGTGACAGGTCCTCTTTATGGAGACATCAGGGGTCTCTAGCGGACCCCTTATGTCACCTGGGGACCCCCAAACAAGCAGATGAAGCAGAGATCTGCTTCATCAGCTTCTCTCCAGCTTCTGAAGCTGGAGAGTGACACGAGAATTCTGACAGCGGAAAGGGGATGGAGGAAGATTGTGTACCTCCCTCTGATCCCCTGACACAGAGCCACCATGCTTGTCCCGGGCTCGCACAGGGCACATCGAAGCTCAGGACCACCGGAGGGGGGCAGTGGTGGGGCTGTTGTGGAGGGGGGTGCAGACCAATCGGCACCTTATACAAGCGATCCAGTGGCTCAATAGACGCTGCATGTTGTTTAAATTTAGGCTGTTTCCCGCTCGCACGCACCGCACACCTTGTGCAAGTGGGTGGGGCCAACAGGACGTCTTTTGACGGCCTGTTACATGCAATTAAAAGCGGGTAAAAGCACCCAGGGGTATATAAATATTATTATTATTATTATTAGTAGTAGTATAGCCAAGAATTTAAATTAAGGCATACTTGTAAAAGTAAATATTTTTTCTACAGCCTGCACCACCACATATCACTGCAATCCTGGGAAAGTTTACACTTAAAAAAAGAACTCTGGGAATGAATTACACTCATCCCCATAGTTAGAGTCGACTCGTGACAATTAATTTGTCACACGTCAGCTCTATTGATCGTGAAGTGAGGGAAAACATACTGCCGCTCGTTCACTTCCCGATCATCTCCCTGCAGAGAGTGGTGACTGTCAGTCACTGCTCCCCACAGTGATTCCCCCCTCCATGCTTCGATCCTCCACCACTGACTGGAGGGATGGACAGGGGAGGGGGGTTGTCAATCAGCCAGCGGGGTGGATCTTGACAGTGTTGTCGGGACTTGTCCCTGCTGTGGCGCTCTAAGCATATAGCGAGCATTAGCCCGCTATATACTGAGATTGGGTCACAGGAAGACGTTAGTATATGTCCTCACGTGAACCTAAAGAGTATGGGGAAAACAAAGTAGGAAAATAGTAAAAGAATGGGGAAAAAAGGGTTACCCCATAGTTTCTCTTTTAACTTAACACTTCCTGGCAGTATTAATCTCCTGGATCCCCCACAGCTCACACTGGTTCCCCCTGATGCTCTCCGCATCACTACTGTGTCCTGTAATGGGGAGATATCAGAGGAAATAACCAGTGTGAAGTGTGGAGGACCCAGAAGTTTATTAATCCCGGTTGTGTTGGTTTCAGTTCAGACTTTAGCAGAAGATTTCTCAGTATCAAAGTGAAGTTTGGCAGCATGGGCAGCAGGAACAGTAAGTATTGACTGAAGTCTTTTACTGGTATGGCTTAATGTCAATTTTACAATAGCTACTGGGTCACTTTAAGAAAACAATTTAATTTTTGTTTGTTTTTAGCTGGACTTGCTGTGCCAAATGTAATTATTTATGTAGTCTGCGATTAATAAAATGTTAACTTATATGTCAATATCAAGTTAAAAAAAAGTTTAATGACTTACCCTATATGGCTTTTGGCCATAGGAATATGCCTCCCACATAAGTACTCCAAAACTCCAAACATCACTTTTGCTTGAAAATTTTAGGAAGTATATGCATTCCGGTGCATACCACTTGATGGGCCATTTTCCACAACTTTTTGCCTTGAAAGAAAAGACAAGTGTTTAATATTGTTACAGTGGTCAGATCAACAGGTAAAATAATGGTTCTTTATCTAATTTTATTATGCAATGCGTGCACGCAAAATAAAATACATTAGTATAGAAAAGGTGAAAATGGAGGCTCATAAGTTGATATTTTCTGTCTTTGCTTTTCAAACATTTCAAACATTACATGTGAAATGGTAACTTTGCAGCTATTACTTAATTTTGCAAGATACTTTATATTTCATTGGAGTCCCAGCTAACATGATTTGCAATACAGACATATGGCCTGATTCACAAATGGGAAAAACGAGTTTGCATGTCTTATTTTGGCCTGTTTTCTCATACTTTCTTCCAATTGCATCTGATTCACTAATGTTTAAGCATGCCAACAACACCATAGGCATTTTTTTGCATGTGCAGAATGGGTGTGAAGAAAACAATTGCTTGTTATTTTGACACGGTAAGTGCACATACACCTTTTTTGGCTGATTCTTTAATTAAAGTGCGCAATTGGGACAGCTCAGTTTCTTCTTCTAAACATATGTGATAATTATTTGCTGACAAGCACGATGGAACCTTATGCAGATGTTAGGGAAGAGTTCAGGATGAATCATTGGTAAGTTTATCATTTTAATTGTCATTAAAAATTCTCCTAAATATAAGTGCAACGTACTTAACCTATATTTTGTAATACTTGATGTAGTCAAAGTTTTCAATAGTGGGCTTTGCAGCATGGGCATATGTCATATACCTTTTTGGTAAGCAAAATGTAAAAAAATTAAATATTTAATACTTTTTCCAAATGTTTTATATGTCTTTAACATATTTTGCTTTCTGTTATCAGGATAGTACATGCTTGTATCCTGCAGTGCTAGTAAGACCAGATAATATGGGGAAGCTACACAGAGGAAACCAGACTCAAGCCTAAGTGAAGAAATAAAATGTATTATAACACAAGTACAAGTGACATGAAACATAAATATAGCAACCTATACGCAAGCCATTCAACAAGCGTGAAAAGTGGAAAACTAGCTAACTATGTACACACAAAAGAGAACCACAATCAGGGGAATCAGATAGAGCAGTGTCAGGTGGGAGTACAAATCAACTGGGCACAAGACAGGTCAGGAACAGGGACCAGACCGGATAGAAGCTTCAGGGAGCAGATTCAGAGACACACAGGTAAAATATTGAGGCAATATGTATTGAGGTGGGGCTGAATACCCTCCCAGTAGCCAGCATCAGATGGTGACTAATTGCTGGGACCAACTGACTGCTGGGAGACACCTGCTGGTGGACACTGTCACTCCAGTAATAGCACTTCCCAGAACTCACCCTAGGTGAGCTGAGTCCTCACACCCCCAATTATTCAATTTGATAATGCTGGTGGACACTGGAACTACATAATTTAAGTCCAAGGACCTTCATTGTTACAGTATAATGTCCCTGCCTTGTTACCATGGCTCCTGAAAACTGTCTTGACTAGTTGCTGCTTTAAATGCCAGCAATGACCTTCCAGGAACACTCTGCTCCCTTTATTGCTTGACTTTGCCCACTTCCTGGCATCTCAGTACACAAACTCTGTGCAAGCAGCTCACTCTGCATGGCAAAATATTTGTGCAAAAACTATATTTGCAGTGCACCACATAAATATATTTAACACATGCAAACTTTTGCACTTTGCAGTTCAGTAAATCATGGCTATAAATGGTTTGGCTGAAGGAAGGACATACAGTATGTTCTCCATGTTCATCTTTATTAACAGTACATTCGCCCCCAACATTAACAGGGCTTTTCACAAAAGGGTGAAGAGTTTGGATAAGGCAGGAGAAGTGAACAATCTAGGACAACATAGTTGAACTGGAAAGAGAGCTGAATTGGTGAATTTTTCCAAATCAGCTATTTTGACCTAGATTGTTCACTTCTCCTGCCTTCTCCAAACTCTTCACCCTCTCGTGAATAGCTCTGTTAATATTACAGTTTGGTCTAAAAACACAAACAAGAAAAAAACAATTAAATTATTTGGCAGCTCGCCCTAATAGAGGTAAATTGAAAGGCAGCTCCAGACTCTGATCTGGAGGGGAGTGCATTTCAACAGATATGGCTTGTTTTGTTACTGTGCAGTCTGTGATTCCTGTAAAAAAAATAGCAACTTTCTTTTCTCTGTAAATATATTGCATTTGTGTAGTTATAAGACAAGTCTGTCAGCTCAACACTACCTGTTTCTTGCTAGAAGGCTTATATATTACCATTTTAGCATGGATAGCAGGGAAGGGTTAAAACCCCTATCAGGTTTTTATTGCTGCCTGTGCCTCTTCCAGATCAACTCACCCTTTCTATTTGTCCTGGTGACTAAGAATAAGGTGTGTCGAGCTTACCGCTACCATGGGCTCAAGACGAATTCTGCATGCTTGAGGTTTGCAGTCCCAGCACATTAATGCAGGAGTTCGCCAGACCAAAATGCACTGCCTGGCCATTGAATTTAGGTCAGCTGTCTGTGTAGGCAGAGCTAATTGTTGTACTGTGCTATATTGCACTAAATTACTGTGGATGGTAGTGAGATGGGCTAAATATTCTTGTGTACCTCTCTGTGTTCACAGTTTAGACGTTCAACAGTCCTTTTTAAGACTTTTTGTGTATGTTGGCAGTTGCTGTTTAGTTGCTGGGCCCCACTTGCAGTTTTTTGTTTGTTGTATTGCTATATTAAAGCAAAACTACAGGAAAAAATACAAACAAACTATAATTTACACACAGCACTGTGTGTGTAAATTATCATAAGAAAGCTGTATGTATCTGTTCCACCCTATCCAGCCATTCCGACAAGGTAGGAACAGAGGTACTTTTCCATTTGGATGGAATCAAAGCCTTAGCTGCGTTCAACAAGTGTGGTGTAATAGACCGTGCATATCTGCCCACGTGTCCCTCATATCCGTGGAACAACATCCCCCATGGATCAAGTGGTACTACTTCTCCCTGGACATGATACATTTCATCCGCTATTTCCCTCCAATAGCGTGCAATTTTCAGGCATTTCCACCAAATGTGAGCATGTGAAGCTACCTGTCCGCACCCCCTCCAACAAAGCGGGGATATAGAGTTATCTATCTGGTGCAATCTTTGAGGGGTGTAATACCATCTGCATAGCAATTTATAATGAAGTTCCTGTATATGTGCGGACCTGGACACCCCCTTGGAGAAAGCCAACACCCGTGACCTACGTTGCTCAGTCAGAGGACTGTCCAGCTCCCCCTCCAAGTGCTCCAGGTAAGGTGGTGGAGACTCCGCTTTCAGTTGCGACAGAGTAGCATACTTGATGCACTGCAATCTCAATACAAACTAGTAGTCCCATCAGTGGAGCCATTTTTTAAAATTTATTTTATTTTTTATCCGATTAACCGATTAGTCGAACTTAATAATCGGCTAACTTATCGATTTTGAAAATAATCGTTAGCTGCAGCTCTAGTGAGCAGGCTGATGTCCGCAGCCCTAAAACCAGGAACAAGAGATGCACTAGGCATCAAACGTGTAAGGGCAACTGATGCCGCATAGGTCTAAGATCAGGAACGTAAACAGCAAAACCGTGAAGAAAAGATGAAACTTTCAAAATACCAGACATGAACCGTTACGTGTGGTGCGCATCCACCCTACTTCCATAGAAGGTGCTTTCGGTATAACTCGCAACTGCGGAAGGAAAGTGGAGCGTTGTGCAACCATGAGTGAATAAAGGTAGAGTCTTTCAGGCTAGTCTCACCCATGTCCTGCGGGGCCCTCCGGTCTACCAGATCTCCTCTTCTTCGGGGGAGTGCGCCAGCTGTTCGCAGTCTCTTTGGGGGGACTCGGTACCATGCTGACCCAGCCGGGTAAATCAGGTACCGCGATGTTAAGATCCGAACAGAAAGCCTCCAACTCCTCTGGAAAGCGCAATATCGCCGATCTACCCCCCTTGCGAGCAATCAAGCTTGCCGGGAAACCCCAGCGGTAAACGATCTCTGCATGTCGTAGTTGATCCAGTAGGGGCGAAGAGCTCTTCTTCTCTCCAGGGTCTCACGCGCCAGGTCTGGGTAAATGTGGAGTTGCGCCCCATCGAAATCAATGGACGACATTCCTCGCAGCTTCCGGGTCACTTCCTCCTTGTCTCCATAGTTGTGGAACCGGCAGATGACATCCCTGGGGGCTGAGTCCGAGAGGTTACGAGGGCGCAGGGCTCTGTGCGCCCTATCGAAGCGTATAGGTGTTGAGACCGGCCGGCCCAGCACAGAGTTAAATATCCCTTGCAGGGAAGCCATTAGATCGACATCAGCAGTAGCCTCCGGGAGGCCCCGGATCCGCAAGTTGTTCCGGCGGTTACGGTTCTCCTGGTCTTCCACCTTGTACATGAGCCATCTGACGGTGAGCTTCCAGGAGATCTCTAATTGCGCCCTCATGGTCATCCATCCGAGTCTCTGCTTCTTCCACTCTCGTCAGTATGTGGGAGAGATCCGACCGCATGTTGGATAGGTCCTGCTTGAGAGACGATTCCAGTACCTGGAACATGTGAGCCAGGTCTGCCTTCGTTGGTAATTCTCTCATGGCCTCTGATACTTGTGAGTCCGCTGGCAGCAAGACCGGGGAAGGAGGATCAGACTCACTAGTGGAACCCGGGGATTCCGGGGATCCTGGCATACCCGGAGGTGTGTGGTCCGCTCGGACCGCGGGCGCCTGCCGCGTGGCAGGCCGTGATGAGGAGGCCTGAGAGGATCTCGTGTCTGCTATAAGATACCTTTTCAAGGTGCCAGAATTCACTTTTTTTGCACCCGAGGATCGCTGACCTTTCCTCCCCATAATGCTGCACCGCCGGGTAGAGGTTCAAAGGATGGTTAGTGTGAATAACGGCAAGTTGTCACGGGCTGTAGCGGGAGCTCTGCTCAAGTGCGACCGTTCAGCGCCATGCGTAAGCCACGCCCCCCCAGAAAGCTGTATGTTATGTGTGGAGGGCAGGTCTAAAGCAAGAGTCAGAGGTTCTGCACATTAAGGTAGTAGGAGAGGTTCTGCATAACAAAGCAGTGGTTGGGCCGCACCATCTAGAAGTAGAGCACATCTGCCTTTACAATCTGAGAGTAGCCGAGCTCTACAGTCCACAAGGGTGTTTAGTGTAGCAGGATGTTTTGTTAGAGGTGAATCTGTCAGTCCGCGACAGTGAGGCCGGCTCACTTTCATTAAACTGGACCACTTGTGGATTATCAATGACTACAAAATCCCTGCTGCCCATGCTACAAACTAAACTGATGCTAAGAAACTAAACCCTGCACCCAAAAGGAAGGAACAGGGCCCATTAGCAGCATTTTAAAATAACATGGCTGCTTTGCACCCTTGAGAAGGAGGAGGAATCTGTGCCTTTTGCTGCTGACTTGTCTCATTGAAGTGCTCTTCCACCAAGATCTGTTTCGGTAGAGTCAAGTGTTTCTTCATGCATGTGGTACCCAAATGGCTGGTTCTTTTACCACAACTGATGCTCTGCAGAGCCTGCAGACCACAACGGTGCTGTCAGCAGCAGGTACCTTAAAAATGGCCCACACTGCAGAGCTCTTTCTATTTGCTGCCTGTTTAAAATTCCACAAAACACTTATCTGCAGTCAATATTTAGATTTTTTCTGGGGGGAAAATGAGGATAGAGGGATGGCGAGGAGGTACAGAGTTGAGGGCTTTAGCTTTATTTTCTTTAACAGTACACTTTTAGATTTGTTCTGTCTGTTAATTCCACTGCCAAGTTCAGGTCTATTACTACTTGATAAAAAAAATTGTGTGTCCCAGTCAAAAATATCTTAAAAAGGTTTTCATCTTATAATGAATCAGATTAAAGTGTTGCGGCTGTATTTAAGTCAAACTATAATGTAATGGTCAAATAATCAATTTTGCTTTCAAATCATGTGGTATCCGAATTTAGTGTTCTTTGATACTGTCCATCAGAGTTGTACTGTTCCATAACACCACATGCAGCCTTAAGCCATATCATAAGCAAGTAATTGAAAGCATTGGTGTTTTTCCCATAACATTAACATTAACATGTGAAGCGGCATTAACATGTGAAACCTCTGCCCAATGTATAGTATTTTTAAAACTTTTCTTTGCATTATTCCCAGTTCTCCTTGGCAGTGCCAAACTACTCATGACAATACTTTGCCTATTATCCATAAAAATAGCCAAGATCCCCCCATACTTCATTGGGGTTCAGTTTTAAGTTCACAATTATCGGACTTCACATTGGGTTTGAAGAACCCCTGCGAACTGAACCTCAACGCATTTACTATCCAAATTAAGAGACTTTCCATGCATTATTATAATAAGGTTCACATTTTGGTACTAATATGACTGCTTCTGACCCCCTCAATGTTTTATTTTACTTTTGTGATATTCCCTGTTTCCTAATGGACTTTAAGTTCTAACTTTTGTTTCCAGGTATATTCTGCACAATTATTGTATGTGTACTGAAAACCCTGTGGCATGTTCAGATGACCAATAAACTGCCCCTGCGTTGGAACAGTCTTTTCTGCACAAATGAGCGGCCCCATTCCTCTCCATGGATAAAAAGCCATGTCATTCAAACACAGCTTGGATAAGCATAGGCTTAGGATGAAGATGTAAAAAAGCACAGGAATGCATTTTTCTTGTTACCGGCCGAATCTCCAGGCAAAAAAACTTTGTAACCAATACGCAAAAAATATAAGAAAATGGTATACGGTGAAGCATGATGCCGTACATTAGGAAAAAAAATTTGGAGTTTGCATACACTTTAAGATGTATAATTAAAAAGCAGTGAATGTTGCTTTCATCAAACCTTCAAGGTAAGTGATTTATTCACTGTCATTTAAAACACATGCATCAAGAAGATTCTCCGCACCTGAAGTGAATGTTTGGTGAATGTGTACTAATAGGAATGGATATGCAGTTAAAATGTATAGACCTGCATCTGCTGCTCATGTACTAGCGATGGGACCATTGTGCAGTTATTTCTTGGTCTAATAGAAATCTTTTGGTATATTTTGTTATTATAGAAATAAAAGTAATGATGATGTCCTAACATAAAAAACAAAAAGCAGACTACTTACTTTGTAATAATTTTCATCAGACTGAATAGCTTTAGAAAGCCCAAAATCACTAATTTTGGCATAATGCTGAGTCACCAAAAGCACATTTCTGGCTGCCAAATCTCGGTGGACAAAATGATTTTCTTCCAGATACTTCATTCCCATGGAAACTTGATGGACAAGTTCAGTTACATTCTTCTCAGAGACATCCCTAATAAACAGGATTAAAACCTTAATCATTCACCACTTATATTAGTCATGTGTTCTAGCGCACAGTATAGCAAATAATTGTATTTTTCCAATGCTTTATTTCAGTAAGTCATTCTTTTCCAGGGGATTCAACCTCTTTTGATATAAACCCCAAAATGAGCTTCAGAAGCCACATAATTATCTGAAATAGGCCCTGGGTTCCACTTCAGTCATATCATCACAAAAAAAAAAAACCTTGCTTTTTGGAAGGCCCACAATTTTTTTTAGAACACATACTGTAAAAACAGACTTATGAAGACCCACAAGCTATTAAAACCAGTCTGGAATAAAGTTATCTTAAACTTTTTACATCTCTTGGAGCACCATTAAATTCAGTAAATAGTTATTAAAAAAAGAAAGAATATGGCACAACATGGCACTACTCTGTGCAGAGTAGCATGTCCTTCAAAACGTAATAATTAGGTAAAGAGCGTAATATTCAAATCAGCAACCTAAAGACATATCGTAACTCTGAACTAGCTATAGAGATTCATTGGCAAGCACTCCCCCCCCTCCCTGTGCCATACCAGGCCACATGCCCTCGGCATTGGTAGGGTGCTTTTCCAGGCCCCCCCACCCCCGGAAAAGCACCTTGTCCTCATGTCGATGGGCCAGGCCTCTTCCCCACAACTCTGCCCACAGACTCCCACAACCACCGGGTCAAAGTTGTGGGGATGAGGCCTTTCTCCCCTTTGGGATTGGGACAAGGTGCCCCGGGGGAGACCCCTGGAAAAGCACCCTTCCAATGCCGAGGGCATGTGGTCTGGTTTTGGCGTAGGGTGTGGGGCACTCGCATGTCCCCTCTATTTCCAGTGCTTGGATTAAGGGTCTGGTTGGGAACTTTAATTCCCCCCTAATTTTGTGTGGGTGGGGTTCCTCCTTAAAATTCCTACCAGACCTAAAGGGCCTGGTATGACTTTTGGGGGGAACCCCACCCACTTTTTTTGATTTTTAACTTGGCGGGTCCCTCCTAACTTTCTTACCAGACCTAAAGGGTATTGTGTTTTTTTTTTAACATTTTTAAAATTCTGTACGCAACTTCCGAGGTATGAGAATAGGGGCAAACAGCAGCGGGTGAACTGCCGGACGTTTGGCAACATCTGGATTGGCTGAGTCGAATGTGTTCACTTGTTCGGCTGAACTCAAGGGAGCCGAAATCGGCCGATGTACAGCTGAAATCAGCTGTACTCAGCTGAAGTGAATAGCCGAATGAGGTTCAGCTCACTTCACTTCGGCTCGCTTATTCACTCGGCTACCTTCTGCAGTTTAGTAAATAACCCCCTATATTTTTTGTCAATCCTTTTCTCTATTATTTAAAAATGTATTTATACAAATTCAGAGTGATCCTTTTATTTTCAAGTAGAAAATGTGGAAATGTTTAAGGGGGAAAACATTTTCATAAAGCGCTGTACATGTCAATGACTACTCTTATTATAGTGCAAAATCTTTCCTGCAAGGGAATCATACAGTCTCTAAAATGTAATACTGTCTAGTTAAAGTATTTTTAAACACAAGAACAAAAATGTAATACAGTATATTGCTGCTTACCAGTCCTTAGATGTGGTGGTTGCGTTAATTTTCTTTTTTACACAATGTAACAATGTACATTATTACATTACATTGGGTATAACATTACATACAGAAATTACAAATAATGGTTTAAGCTTTCCCAACTACCGTCTGTGAACTACAAAATGCTTCCCTCCAATGTAATAGAGATGGGGACAGAGCAATGTGTTTGTAGTCCAAAACAAGTGAGTACTCTAGAAGATTACCCTAGAGCAGTTTTTCTCAACCTTTTTTTCCAGTCACGGCAACCCTTTCGCTGCCAAGCCCTCCAGAACATTTTTCAAATCAGCTGGCCAAGCCATTTTTGAATTTTCTGCAATTTTTTCCTATTGGTTTGATTTTCAACTGCTGCGTTGCTAGCGTTTGTGTAAGATACCACCCAAACCATTTGTCCGTACGACGTACTGAGCTGGCCATCTGGAAGCACTTTTGTAGCTCCGTACGACGTACGTCCTTGGCAGCGAAAGGGAAGTACCAAGATCTTGATGCACCCCAGTCTAAAATTTAACAAATGTAAATATAAAAGTGTAAAACAATTATGAGTTTTAAAATCCATACCAGACCCTTATCATTTATAGGATTTACACTTTTTACTTTACATGAGGAGCCCCCTCTTTTCACATCAGAAGCCTGCCTGGACCATGGAAAGGAATGATGCTATGCAAAAATGTTGAGGAAGCAGAAAGCACCCCAGTGGCACAGCATCCTGGTCGAGAAATTCTGCCCTAGAGTGACAAAGCTGTTCCCTCCATAGATACAGTACAGTACGTGTGGTCACCCCAGGATAAGAAGTGTTTTACTGGCAGGATCTCCTTGTGAAAATAAAGCAAACAAAAGTCTAAACAAACTAATGCAGCCAACGCATGTATGGATTGGTAAATTTAAATGTACTACATTTTTATTTGGTCTAGATATAGCTTTTAATATTGTATAATTAATTTTCTTGCAGGCAAGGATGCTGATATGCTCTCTAATGGTTACGATCTATAAATTAAAGCTACAGGAAACATATTCTGTTTAGATGGCTTAAAGATTTTGAGACTGACAGCACAACATTGACTAGAAACATAAAACACATTCAATATATATGTATGCTTACTTTATGTAAAAAGGATAGTATTATAGAAAATTTTTTAGTACCTGTTCTTAGCTAGAAACTTATTTAATGGTCCAAGTTCCGCAAGCTCCATAACCAGCATCCAGAACTCTGCCTCACAGACTCCAATCATTCTGACAATGTATGGGTTATCCAACTGCTGCATGACCCTTGCTTCACTCAGTAGCTCCTCTTGAATGGCAGGGTTGTCACCGTCATTCTTAAGAATCTTCACTGCAACTTTCTTTTCGGATCTGTTAGAGTTGATAAGAATTATTAGGAAAAGTTAAGATGCTATATTTCCACATTTACGTAGTCGTTACTACAGCTGAGACTTTTTGTGGAGTCATCATTTAAACACAATATCCCACAAAAATATATTTACTTACTAGTACGCTGAACTGTATTGGTTTCCATAAATTGGTCAGATTCGTAGTCTGCAACATTAAAATGGCAAAGGAACTTGTAAAAAGTTATTGATTTTCTGTCATTGTCATAGCTCCTACCTTTCTGTAGCACATTCTTTCCCAAGAGACAGCAGTGAAGCACAGTGGCATCACCAGTGCCTCAGCAAGTGGAGGAAAGTCAGCAACCAGGGTATTGTTTTTTTCTACAGTGCCTAATTTTTGGCATTCTTTTGTATGAGTTTTATTTTATTTGTGGTTGTGGGGAGCTGGGAATGCAGAAGGAGTGTCCTTTGCCTACATCCTTTGTGCGAAAGGGTGCCCTTCTTTCTAATCGCAGAAAGTTGAGAGGTATGCATGAGTACATAACTACAAACAATTATGCAGTTGTTAAATTTGAAACTCCCGGCCTTCATTCTTGTTTTATACAAAACATTAAGTGCAGTTGCAGGATCAATATAAGAGCTGGGCAGTTGGCATTTACATATATTTCTCTTGTTTCCTTTAACCATTTTGCTACCAAGCAGATTTTTTATTTTTTGCCTGAAAATTACTTAAAACCCCTAGAATTCTATATTCCCTGTATGACGGAGACCCTGTAGAATAAAATGGTGGAAGTTGCCATTTTATAATGTCACACGATACTATAGCGTTTATCAAACCCAAATTTTCAGTAAAAAATAAATTTTTGGCAATTTTTTTGGTAAAATCCAAAAGATTTCGCCAAGTAAATGGATACAAAACATGTGAAGCTTCAAAATTGTCTGCACCTGTGAAATGGTAAAAAACAATGATATCCCAAATTGTCCATCGGCGATGTTTTTAAAACTTTTTTTATTTTATTGCTATCACATGTGAGCCCCCTATGTGACAAGGACGTGCGGGCAGGGAAGGCAGGTGAGGCAGGAGCTCAGGTTTGCAGTGGCTTTGGTATGAACCTGAGTTCTTCCCTAGTTGTTATAAACAGTAAGATTATAATCCAGTAGGTTATGATAATAAACAGTGTAAAACTAGCTGTAGAAATAATAGAACATTTGGAAGTACAAGCACAGCCTAATTTTCACAAAATTTATCCTGGCACAGTGTTGACCATAAATAGGTATACTTGGGTGACATACAGTCAGTGTTCCTGTTTAAGGCTATGCAAGAGGCAGGTGCAGTGCACAAACCTATATGTATCTTCTATCCTGCTTTCAGAAAAAAAAGGGGAAAATCCTTTCAATAAGGGATTAAAGTGACATTAAACGTTTTTTACTTTAATGCAGAGAATGCATTAAGGTAAAAAACACCCAGCCTTTAGTACTACTTTAAAATCTAACATGCTCTTAAACAGGCACTTACTTTGATGTTTTAAAGATTCCTTTTTTCACAGTCCCAAAATTGCCAGAACCCAGTTCAATTTCAGATAATAGGAGTTGTTCTCGCTTTATTTTGAGGGTTTGAGTTCTCAGCTCATCTGGATCTTCATATATTCCACGATACACATCTGTGTCCATTGGCATGGAATACAGGGCACCTTCTGAAGCTGATGGCATAAAAGATAGGATTCAATCAACTTGTTCACAGTAATTTCATACCTTTCCATAGTCATATTTCATATGTTCCATAGTTTTCTCTGTTTCTGTTATCGCTTGAAAAATTAAAAAGTAAAAATATAACTTTCTTCTGTCATTTAACATATAATTAGTTTATTTATTTATTTGCATCAGATGGAGTGCAAATACAATAACTTCGAAGTTCCTGTTTAGAACTACATGGCATGTGTAATACAATAGAGAAATGGCTGTACTTTCTTTAGGCAACAAACTCCAATGGAAAATTACATTGCAATATGATATACCAAAAAATTATTTTGCACTCTGAAGTTCATAATATATATACCATTACTTACATACATAGATATTTATTGCTCAAAATACAGACAAACCTTGTTTTTTGTCCTGGGATAGATTTATAAGCTTTTTTGTGCTAACATTAAACATCCTGTCCTTCACTATCGCTCAAAATCAGTGTAGAAGGGTGCGTAGCCAACGGTGGCACCACATAAATCTGAAGAAGAATTAGCCAACACTCCCTAAAGATTATGTATTAAAGGCAGAGGTGTTAGTAGCATACATTTGAAGCAAATCTATGTGAAAGCCACACTCCTCAGTCAAGGCCCCTCTGCATAGTATGGTCCCTAATCTACACTGATTTTTGCTTGATGGTGCAGGATTGATGTTGAATGACTGTTGAATGAATGAGTTAGTGACTTTGGTCACCAGCACCACCCAAATATTTATGCTACCCTTTCCTGAGATACACAGACAGCATTGAATGTGTTCCTTGACTGGCTGGTAAGTGTGCTAGAAACAGGCACCTTACTTAAAAAAATCTAGCTATTAATTGCAGGGACACACTGGAGCCTTCAGTGGCTGTGTGCTATGCTGGTGTGTCTCTGCTCCTTTAAGGGGGAATTGGTTACCTCCAGGCATACCTGCCTTTGAAATATTTATTGCTGTGTATGTCCCAGGATGGGAGCTTTTTTTAGAGTAGGGACTTCATTATGCAGAGGATCCTTGACAGGGCAGTGTAGATTGCTTAAAGATTTGATGGAAATATACTGTTTGCTACTTACACTTCTCTAAAAATACATAGTGCTGGTCATTTCTTCTTTAGATTTTTATTGCTGTCTGTGACCCCTGTGGAGAGATTTCCCTTCACTTCCTACCCTAGCCACAAGTGTCACTGGACAGGAAATAAACATATATTCCACAATTAAAAAACTTTTTTTAGTAGAGTGCAGGAGTGGAAAAAGGTTAAAACCTTCGTCAGGTTTTAATTCTTAGTTGTGTCCCTGTTAAGGAAAGTTCCATTCACATCTTTACTGATGACAGGTGCCACTATGACAAGAAATAAGTGGACATTAAGGGGATGCTGCTGTCACCTGATCATTAACTTGACTAGGTGACAGCTGTCACTTGAAAACGCCAGATTAGGGATTTCTGCTGCAGTCTGAGCAGTCTCCAATAAAGTTTCTTGTGGATGTTTTCAAGGCTAGTTATTACTTAAATTATTATTAAAACCAGTAGCAACTGAATGCAGAGGCAACTATTTATGATAATAAAGAGTAGATGCATAGTCCTATACAACCGGCCCTTTGAGGGTAACCATACTGCTGATGCGGCCCCCGATGAATTTGAGTTTGCCACCCCTGGGATAAGGGGACAATAAGGGGATAAGAAACCAGAAACCATTTTGCTTAGAGTTGAGCTGCAATAATGAAAGCATACAATATAGTGTCCTTTCTGGTAATCACATTACAATGTAGACTACAAATCAGAAATGAATACCATGCAACACAGAATAATTAACTATACTGTACAGACTCTTAAGTAATCCACAGGCAGGAGATGGCCTTTGCACAACTGACTATTTTTTACTACATTATTGATGATCTCACATTTGGAAACTCCACACATGGCCATGGCCGACCAATCTCAGGAGGTTAGAACAAACAATCATGCTAGTTATAAAACTGTCCTGATCAGTATTGTTCCACCCTGTGATAAGTGGCACTGTAATCATTTGCCAGGAGGGTTCTTCTCCTTCCCATTTCATCTTCTTAAACACAAATATTTGGCTGAGCCTAACATTTTTCTCATATGACAGAAATGCCTGATGGTGGCTGGATCATAAATGGATGGTTATTTGCTCTTAGATGGATATTGGACCAAAAACTGAACTTTGGGAACACACAAAAAAATTTAACTGAGTACACATTGGTGCAGGTTATAGGCAGTTCTGCCCACTAACTACAGGTAGATTGTAATATTATTTTCCTAAACGTGGGAGTGGCTCAGAATCAGTGTCTACTTTCTTACCAGCCAACAAGGCATACAAATGTGAAGAAAACAAAAAATAATGATACACACTCAATATGACTTTTGTTATAACTTGAGTTTGGTAGCACCACTAAGAGATTGTACGTTCTCATGAGTAGGGTCTTTCCAAACCTTTTGTATGGTATTGTATTGTAACTGTATCGTCTCCCCATATTTTGTAAAACACTGCACAAACTATTGGCACTATAAAAATCCTGTATGATAATAATGTGCACATTGCGCAATAAATAAATAGAGCAAGGGCCCTCATTACTAGCTTGATTACTTCTTTTTCTTCATCTCTGCTTCCGACTGTTCTCCTGCTACAGCTTAACCTGATTATTATTTCTCGCACACATAGCTATTGTTTTGAAATAAAACATTTGCCTAGCTTACCTCTGTCGCTTGATTTTGGTCTTGAAACATATGGATTTATTGAAGAAATGCTTCCAGCACGACTAACTTCACTCAGACCTTGCTGTAATAATTGCAGAACACAGATAGGGAATATTACTCCATAACAGCTTAAATGTGAGAGCCATAAGAAGGAAACTGCATATAAGTTGAGACATTTTTGGACACTTTTTGACTGAGATACCAGTGCATGAAACCTTAAACAAACTCAATGATTTGGTACCAATGGGCCTTTTAGTGTAAGCTCTTAGTAATGAGGCATGTCAGATGAAACACAGACTCTTCTTTTTAAAGGTTGGGTCCTTTTCGTCTAGATGTATATGCACTTTAGAGGTGTTTAAAAGTGTTTAGGCTTTTATATGATTTGTGAAAAGATGCTAATTCCACAAACTGTGGGCATATGGCACTTGTAATAACTTCTAATGAAAGCCTTTTCCATTTTCCAGTGCTATATTCTTCATTATTTTTCTGCATCAAATAGCACAATGTGGCATGTACCCTATTTTACATTAATTTCAGATTCCCAGGAAGAAATATTATCCCAACACTATCATTGTTATTTAAATAGAGATAGCCTTTTTCCCCTGCATTTTAACACTGTTAGGGCCTGTATCCACAGCCTTTTGTTTGCTACACGCCAGTTCTGCATTTCCATACAAACCTATAGGAATGCAAAACTCGCTTAAAGCAGGTCAAATTCAGGTCAGAAGAAGGTCAACGGCAACATCCATGAATTCTGAATGATCTCAGAATGGTCTCAAAAGGATGTCGAATTGATGCCATCAACACAAGTGCTAAGCCTATCGACTCACAATCAGTAGAGATGGCAATTTTTACATTAACCAATATACTTCCTTTGCAGTAAGGTAAAATGGTTCTATTTATAAATGCATTCAGATAAAGTAGGGGCATACATGATTTTATAGATAGAGAAGAGGGTATATATAAGCAGGTACACTGATAATTGGTGTTTACAAGCTATCTATGCAAAGCTACTCATATGAAAACTATCCGTTTGGAATGTTAGATTTTCAATGTTGCATTTCCAAGCAGAATTTATTATTTTATAATTTTGTATATAATGAATAAATTTTTTTCATTCAGAACATTTGGTTATAGTCTATATGGTACCTGGTATTTTTACTGACCTGACATCCTAGCAACCAACAACCGGCAGCCAGGGGATTGTATCATGACAGCGGGTTGAATGCTGGGAAAGGGCAGGGGAGGCAGCACATCATTGGTTGGTTGCTAGAACGCTGGGCAGTCCTCGCAACCAACCAATTATATGTTGCCTCTCCGTCCTTCCCATCATTCAGCTTTGCACCTGCCTCCTTTAGTGAGGTGCCTGCCCTCCCGCCTCCTCCAGTGAGCCAACCACCTCCCCAAGTAAGCCAGTGCTACCACAGCAAGGAACTCATAAGGGAGAACTCTGGAATCTCAACTAAGGGGAAACTCTGGGGACTCTGATGTAAGGGGGAGTGAGCTATGGGCACTGAGTCCCACCTTACATCGGAGTCCCCAGAGTTACTCCTTACATTAGGGGGGACTCTTGGAACTCTAATGCAAGGGAAGACTCTGATGCGAGTTTGACTTGTATTTTTTTGACAATATTAAAGGTACAGACATCTAAAATATGGGTGTCAGATTTTGGAAAGGGGCGCAATGTCAGTGCTTGCCATAGATGTTATTTTTTGTAGATACGCCTCTACCTATCACTTACAGCCAAGAAAGGTGGCATCTTAGCCTCTACTTAGCGTTCATTTGCTATAGTACTGCACATGTGATCAGCTAGGACTGTTTAGGGAGACATTAAATTGGAGGATAAAGTTCCTCTTTAACTGTATATAACCTGTATAACCTGTTTAGGAGGGACAGATGTCCAGGGGATGTATTGCAGGGACAAGTCTATAATTTTGCCGCTTAGTGGTACGGAGGACCAGAGCTACGAGACAAGGCTACTAAATTTAAACATGTTCACATTGGAGGTGAGGAGAATAAGGGGGGATATGATCTCCATGTACAAAATGTTCAATGGTGGTAGCAACATTAGCGATAAACTGTTTAAAATTAACTCCATTACAAAAACTAGAGGCCACCACCTAAAATTGGTGGAAAAAAAATTCCAGCACAAGGGGCGAAGGGGGTTCTTCACAGTAAGATCAGTTAGGGTCTGGAACTTATTTCAGCAAATAATGTGGAATTGTTCAAGAAACTTTTGGACGATTTCTTAAGGGACCATAATATACAGGGGTACAGGTACTCCTAGAATGAGATCCTAATAGGTTGGACTTGATGGACTAATGTCTTTATTCAACCTCAAATACTATGTAACTTGTTAATTTACCTTATTCTGAGTAGTCTGTAATGTAGCTACAAGTGTACACCATGTTCAGAGGGTCAGTAGGAGGGCAGTGGGGTTTGCTTTCTGATGTCTGTGTAGGGTTCCCACTTTTTGCATCACCAATTGCATTTCAAATTTATAATGCAGGTTAAAATCTGATCGGTTGTCATTTATTTACTTCAGACTTTCTCTATGATAGGAACTCAGGTACAGAGCAGGCTGAGTTCTTAAAGTTGAACACCGAGCACAAAAGCTGTCATTTAAATATATTCCTTAATAGTCACAAACTCTAAAAATTTATTTTGTCTGAACTAAATATCTTTGCTAACCCAGATATTACCTAGCAAAAGTAGGCGTGACACATAGGGGTCTATTCACAAAGCTGCCGAGGGCAGCCGAGTGAATGACCGATCAGAAGTGAAGTGAGCCGAACACTGTTCGGCTATTCACTTCAGGCTGGTAAGGCTGATTTCAGCCGTACATCGGCTGAAATCAGCCGTACATCGTAATAGCCAATAGTAATGTCCCAATGCTTTTCAATGGGAATTTTTCTTTTTTTTTTCTCTATTCTGACATGCTCGTGTCAGAATACAGAAAAAAAGACACAGCAGGGTTTCTCTCCTTGGCGGCCGGGAGCAGGAGACTCCCGGGGCACCAGGGAAAGTCAGCTGTTTGGAGATCAGTGTCCCTGGTTAGCAACCAGGGACGCTGATCTCTCTGAAAGTGGCCGGAGCCAGCTGTCAGATCACGGCTGGCTCCGCCCAGGCTGTTGGCTGGCCGGCTTTTAGCGCAGCTCTGCCGAGCCGATGCATATGCGATCAGCTCGACCGAGCCGCTCGGCCATGATCGGGAGCTGTACGGGCTATTGTGAATAGCCCGTACAGCACCCCCTCGGTTCTACTGAACCGAAGGGGTCCTGGGGCCGAACCTAGCCGAAGGATCGGCCGAAGCTACGGCCAGATCCTTCGGCAGCTTCGTGAATAGACCCCATAGTTGTGCCGAGAGCAGAGCTATGGGTGAAACCCAGCCACTCTTCCCACTACAGGCTGCCAGCAAGGGGGGGTGCAGATACAAGAATAGTGTCCCTGCGAAAGGAGGGGGAGTAACAGAGATTTTTTTTTATTACGGGAAACTTCTGCTCAGCTGTAATTTGCAAGTGGATTACAGCACAGACTGAAAATAATGCACACACAAAAAAAAAATCAAGTCTCCAGTAAGAATACAACTGGCTCTTGTATTTATATAATATTTGTTTAGCCTGAAGTTTAGCGTTAATGTTTATTGAAAAATGTCCCCTGCACCTTTAGCATTTTTTATACCCATATATTCAAATGTTTATTAGTGAAAGAGGAACCTGTATTGAGTATTTTGGTCAAAATATTGATACTACACGAGGACTATTGTTCTTACCTTCCTCTCATACATTTTAGAGGTTAGATTATCCCATCATGTACTGTTTAACTCATTATTACTATTTAGCAATTTTTTTCATTTAAAAAAAAAATTCATTTTAAATGTGTTTATTTGAAAGCTATTATTCAAAAAAATGGGCTGAAAATCTCGGCTTATACTCGAGTATATACGGTATGTGCTACATTTCTTCTTATTAAAATAAACATTTATTTTTCAATGAAAACATCTGCCATGCACCTGTGCTGTAGTGAACAAGGGGAACTGCAGCTAGTGTAGATATCAATGGAGGAGCCATCTTTGCATCTGCTGTCTGTGCGAGGCCTTACTGAATGGGAGGGGCAGGGGAAACCCATATAGGGTTGTTAATACAAAAGTAAACTTGTATTTTAAAGCCTTGACTAATAACCCATCTATCCAGAGAAGCTAATGACAGTCTTTCTCTTTTCTCACTTCTCCCAGTACAGAACACTGAACCAAACACAGAATCTCTGGGCGTAGCTAGGAAGTCCCAGTATGCACATGTGAAGAGTTCAATGAATTAATATGCTAAGTTTGAGTACCTCACAACCTGGCAGATTGGTGCCAAGTAGGACCCTGTTTACATTTGTTTCAAACAACATATTAAACTTACAAATAATGTCACTATGCTGAGGAATTTCATGTTAACTTAATAATTGAAACAGTGGTCCTGTTTTAAAACGTAATTGTATTGTCAGTCCAACAACTAGTGTTAGTGCGTGTTTATTTCTCTGTGTGTGTGTATTTCTATGTGTGCATATTTTTCTTTGTGCAGATTTCTGTGTGTGTGTGCAGATTTCTCTGTGTGAGTGAATGTGTGTTGGACCTCTATGATTAATATTAAAATGTAGCTATTGTCATTGTGGAGAAATTATTCTTCAAAGTTTACTAACAGGGGCACAGAAATCTTAATATTTTTTCCTAAGAGAACAGAATCTTGACAGTCTGCCAGCCTTCTAATGTAAGCAACCAGCAGATCTTTCTAAGCTGTCTGAAACTGACTTAAACTTTGGTTTAGAGCAAGGGTCTCAAAGTACCAGCCTGCAGGTCAATTCCGGCCCACAAACCGGTACATGTGGCATGCAGTCATGGACCACGTACCTGACTTGGGGGAGCAGCTACACGGTCTGCATCTCTGTCAGATGCAGACTGCAAAGCTGCTCCTGGCAGCGTCGGCACTCAGTGTGAGTCAAGGCAGCATACACTCTGACAGCCTTCACTGAGCGCCGTCCGAAAGGAAGGTCTTTACCAGCCAAAGGTGCGGACTGCACTAATCCCCCACTGGACCACCAGGAAATGTGCCTCCTCCCTACAAAAAATTTAAGCAGGTGAGGGGGCTCTTTCTTTTATTTTAAGAAGGTGTGAGTGTGTGTGTATTTCTGTATGTATATTTATGTGTGTGTATTATTGTGTATTAGTGAGTGTGTATTTCTGTGTGTGGGGTGTTTGTATTTCTCTGTGTGCGAGTGAATGTGTGAATCTGTTGGTCCTCTATGAATAAAAGTAAACGCTATTAAAAAACACACACACACATACTGACACTGCACACATATACACATGTATACATACTGATATGACACACACAGAAACATTAACACACATACCGACACCACTCAGAAATCCTGACAATACACACACACAAACCAACACAGCACTTATACTGACACTGGTACCGTATATAGTTACATTTTGTTTGGAAGTATGACAATTTATGAAATTTGGCAAGTGGCCCCATTGTAAAATAAAATTTGTCCAGTGGCCCCAAGTGAATTGAGTTTGAGACCTCTGATTTAGACTCTTTGTTGTGATTTTTGAGGATGAATTACTTTTCATGACAAGCTAGAGAGGTCAGACATGGCTTGTTTTAAAGCTATTTTACTTCTTGTTCAAAATATGTAAATAATGTTATGTTCCTAGTCAGGGCACACATGCACCTTGAGCACAACACTGAAACTGCAACAGCAGGCACCGTGTTTTTAGTCACTGAGACGGTGGAGAGATCACAAAGATCTCCCAGTGAACGGCTCAGCGATACAGAGTGCAGCAGCACTTGCCACTTACATTTACATAACAGCCGCTGTCCTTGATGCCTGGGAAGCTGCGAGGGAGCGTGGCTGTGGCTTCCTAAGCTTCCCAACCAATCAGGAAGCCAGATTGGTAGTCACATGACCACCTGCCTGGCTCCCTGCTTCATTACTGCACCCCTGCTGGAAGAGGTAAGGGACAGTTGAAGAGATGGGAATCCGGGATTATATATAAAATATATTGTATATATACCTGCGTATATGTGTGTGTTTGTACTTTTGTGTGCACACTCTAATACAATAGGCTGCGCACACCTATGCATGCACTTAAATGAAGAATGTAAAATGTGCATAACATTTTTTGAGCTTTGGAGATCAGTATCTCTTCATTTTCATGGACAACTTACTGTTTCTATATAAAAATCGAGTTTCTGACATAGGTACGGGGGGGAGGCCGCACACCCGCAGCTCCTGCAAGCGATCGGGCGTCTCTAGAGATGCCTGATCGCTTGTATGTAAACAGCCATCGCTGGCTGTTTACATGCTCACAGTTTTCCCTCTCGTGTGCGCGCTGAGTGCCGTAGACGAGAGGGGGGAGGAGCAGGACGTCTTAAGACGCCCTCCTAGCAGACTCCCGTCCGGCCGTTCACAAACGGCCATGGACGGAAGGTGGTTAATACAGTTACCTAGATGGATATACTGTATATCTAAATGCTTAGCTCAGCTTTTTAGCGGCTACATATTTACCAGGTTTGGCCTTAGGAGGTTATGGACAAACCTAATGGATTAGTATGTTTGTATAGGTCTTGGAACGATAAAACGTTTATAAGATGCAAACTCTGATCTCTTTTTTTTATCAGACATTGATCAACTCCAGGTAATTGTCCTGTACATGTATGCTCAATGGCAAGTTACAGCTAATTAAAAACATCAAATTAAACAAAAATCTATAATTATATGTGGAAATGTTTTCAATGAAATGGCTTTTCTTTACATCTATATTTTATTGAATAGTAAATCTTTGATTTGTTGAATGTTTTTTGCTTGTAACAACTTATCAAAAAAGAACTCTTCAAACTTAAAGAGAGCCTTTTAGCAATGGACATTTTTACAAAGCTAGATATTCACTCTTATGTGTACTGTATATATGTAAAGCCTTATTCCCTAAGGATAAGGGTGTGTGCTGTTATTTACTTGTATTCTCTGTCTCTCAGAATACAAGGGTCAGCCTAGTTTCAGGCTGTATGGCCCCATTGAAGTTGACCTTTCTCTTGCATGAGCTTGAGGCTGAGACGTTACACACTCTCTAGGCTGCTGGAGGAGTTAAAAACTGTCAATTACCAAAGCCTTTAGTGTTTTTATCATCAAATCCTGATAGCAGATTTATTATATTGCAGTTTGAGTTGAGTGCCTGTTCTAAGCAGTGATTTTAGGTAGGAGGAAGGACTGCCCTACAGCCTAAAAGTTGGTCTAACACTTCTGCTCTGTTAGGGAAAGCATACATCTAAATACAAAAAATAAAAACCTTGATTGTTTAGGCTGAATTCAAGTCTTCTTCAAATAAATAGGGACACTCTCTGATGTGACTACACTATATTAAATACAAAACATGTATTTTCACGTTTAAATTGATGTACCACGTTTAATACTTACACTGCTCCGACAAATCCACCATTAGTCATATTTCAATCAAATACAATTGATTATACAGAAAACAATTACTGTTAATAAAACTGTTTTAAAAACACACCTTTATTTGCTGTATTATAGCTTTCTAAGCCAAATGTTAGGGAGTCACAAACGCAAAGCTGGCAGGATTTAGAAATTCATAACGTGATTAGGAAAATTAAAGCAGCATTGCTGGCCCGTGAAATAAAAATTTGATGTACACTGTATTTTTAGTTTTTGTTGTCCATGTGCTGCTCTTAATGGAACCTTTAATTTTACTTTCACAAATTCTACATGTTCCATGGAGATAAAAGTATTAATTAAAAAAAACAATCAAATGCAAAGAGCTATAAAGCACATCTGTGGAGATATACAGGGCTATTCACAAAAGGGTGAAGCGTTTGGAGAAGGCAGGAGAAGTGAACAACCTAGGACAACATAGCTGAACTGGAAACATTCTCCAATTCAGTTCACTTTCCAGTTCAGCTATGTTGTCCTAGATTGTTCACTTGCCTGCCTTCTCCAAACTCGGCCCCCTTTGTGAATAGCCCTGATGGTGTTCTTAACACATTTCTCCAGAAAAGACCCACATCTTTAATTCTAAATAAAATCTTTATGTAATTTGCAAGAGCATGGGAATGTAAAACCCGCAATGCTACTTTAATGCAGGCTGTACACCCAAAGCGCCAAAAGCCTGCCAATGATTAACAAAGCTTTGGAAGAGCGTGTTCTGTGCACCTTTTTGCTGCCAGCCTTGGGAAAGGAGTAGGATTTGAATCTTGCGATTATTCCACCTGCTGACCAATTCTAGAAACCACAATGTCATTAAATGTCAGTAAATGGGCCATGAAAGAAATTTTTCACAACATGCAATGCCATCACTATCTAAGGGTGATGTACAGACAGGAGATAAAACAAGAGCTTTCCTAGAGTTAATAATGTAGACCAGCCTTTCTCAACCGTTATCCCAGAGGAACCCTTAAAATAAAGTTTAGGTCTTCAGGAACCCCTGCTAAAAAAAAATTATACCTTCAGCTTACTGTTTATTAGTGTGATTAATAATTTGCATAACGTTTTTAACAAGATAATAAATAATGTAGCATACCTAATGTATTTAAAACCCAGGGCAGATTTTTTTTAACACCCTTCTCTCTATGCAATAAAATTAGTTTTATTAAAAAACTTGAAATTAAATGAATAGTATTAACAGAAAAGAAACCCCAGATAGTAAAAATTGTGGTGTCTGCTAACATTGACGACCAGTGTAGAAGTGCCTGCTTACATTTGTGTTTGGTTGAAAATTCCCCTTTGTCTTGGTGTTTAGTGTATTTACCAATGCTTACTGCTCAAGGAACCCCTAGAAATCCTAGGAAGGACCTTAGGGTTTTCACAGAATCCTGGTTGAGAAAGGCTGTAGACAGATAAGTGTGTGTTTTTGTGTGTTGCAGAATCTCCTTTCCATAACTACTAATATCTGCACTTACCTATTCATGCCAAGGAATGATAAATACTTGCAGTAACTGCAGTTGTGTGGGGAGATGGTATGTTGTAACTGCTGTCTTTACTGCTTTCAGATCCTTTCAAGTGTTTATAAGTACTCAGATCAGTACAGTGGTGTGAAATAATAAATGAGTATTCCCTGATAAAAGCATGCAATGCAAGAGATTAAAGTTGGGTATACACGGGTAGATTTTGGCACCAACGTTCGTACGAAAAATCTCGTTGAAATGTTAAATAATGCCATCAGAGGCTTAGCAATTGTCGTTCGAAATTTGGTTGATTTAAATTTTTTTATTTACCATGTGAGTTTGGGATGAATGGAGTTTTCTTAATGAAAACTACATTCCCTGTTAAAATTTCGTTCGATTGAGAAAACATTTTCCAACATGCTCCTTCTAATTTTTTTGTCACTATGGTCAAAATCAATCATTTGACCACATCAACGATTAGAAAGTGGAGAAAACACTCCGAAATAGATTTTGTTCGTTCAAAAGTCTAACCGTGTATACGCTACTTAAGGCATCAAGTGTGGCAATCTGGCTAAATGGTGTGAAATAGAAAGTTACAGTGAACCATCTGAGCTTCACAAGTCCTCATTAGGGTTGATGTACAAAAGTAGTACAGCATGCTCATTTTACAAAATGGATGTTCACTTAGCTTAGTGTATTTGGTAAAGCTGTGTTCGCATTGAATATCCAGTCATGAGCAAGGGCAATTAAAAAAAATAAATAAAGATTTTGCTTGCACATGATTGGATTAGTGAACATACTTTTTAAAAGTAAACAGATCAAGATTACTTGACACCCTTTTTAACATACGTGAGCAATATCTATACGTCAAAGGAAGATTGAGGTTCTAGTGATACATCATTCAAAAACAGAACAGCAGATCTTTCACTGCCAATTGTTTTGGTGAAACAACTGATCTAAGCAAAATCAACTTTTTTTGTTTTTTTTCAAGCCTATTACATCAACAGTCACACAAATACTCACACTCACAAATATTCTATGTAAAAAAAGTCTATTATATAATTCAACCCCTTTAGATGCAACTTCTTATTACAACTGCACTTATTGACAATAAACAAGATACAAAGGTCTAACTTTGTCACCTGCCTTCTATCCATTTTTTATGAAGAAATGCACAATTAAACAAAAACAAATCATTAATGCAGAACTGTAGGTCATTTTATGTCTTTGTATATATTTATATATATTTATAGTTTGTGTGCACTCTTTCGGAGTACATTTGGCCCCATATTAACCTTCATAGCGACCAGATGGTTTGGTGACTCAAGTAATTAAGCTAACCGTGGCTGGCTTGCTCATCTTCAGTTGCACACATTATAATATTTAATCAGTTATGGAAACAATGAGCAATGGTGGCTGGTGGCAGATACATATTAAAATGCATGAAGTCGTGCATGATAAAAATGTGCGTTGGTGTGCCTTAAGATAAATTATCTGAATGCTGAGGAAAGAAAAATGAAAGTTAACAACTGATTGACTTCTAATAGCATCAGCCATATTTCTGCATGAACATTATGATACCTGACATTTATTTAATGTTTCGTTGAGCCTACTGAGCAATGGTAGCTGTCATACGGACAAAAGATAAAAATGACAGTTGGTATATTTCTGACTCAACATTACTCGACAATGAGGATGATTTACTTAAAAATTAGAGAATTGTCACACAATACATTTGGTAAATTATTGTAAAGTGTAAAGCAAATTCCTGCTTACTTATTTCTTCTGCACATAATTGGGTATCCAAAGTGAACAGGAAGTTTCTTTTCATATGATTAGATAACTGAAGTAAACATTCACACAATTTATTGTGTGAAGATTCTCAACCCCTTTAGTAAATAAGTACAAATATGTCAAGTGATGTTTAAAATACTGCCCTCCACTAAATAAACTTTGTTTTAATATTTGTTTGCTAGTTTTCTGAAAACGTCTTTATTTATCTGTGAAAATGTGTACAGTATACCAGGCCACATTTTATTCTTAAATTGTTAATCAGTTGTGTGTGGTCAACTCCTTATCATTTCATGGTAAAAGATGCATCGGGTGCATTCAAATATTCATTCCCATACATTAGCTTTAAAATTCATTATGTTGACTGCCATTACTACACTTCAAATTCTTAAATCAGAATGAGACAATTTGACTTTTTATTGTTTAAAAATGACAGCTATGTTAATTAAATCCTAAATAAGTTATATTCTGAACAGGAGAATAATCGCCTCATTTAACAAACAAAAAGTTTAAAGAGTATTGTTGTACAGTAATCCATGACAACCAATCAGCAGTTTTGACAGAAAGATGAATTATGTTTGGTTGCCATGGACTGCTACACAAAGCGTTCACTTTGTCATTGTTACAATTATTTATGCATAAGCACACTGACTGCTGATTTGAGTGACAAAGAAAAATTTAGTAACTAGTCTCCAAGTGTATACTTTTGACCCACTTATTCCGATAGTTTATGGAAGACAGAGAAAGCATGCAATGGGATTTCTTTAGATATATATTTAGACACAAACTGTCATATAGGCATACAGAGCTAAGTACTTTATAATGTATTATCTGCTGATAGTGTTTTTTTTTTAACTTTGCCTTGTTCTATATAAATACATTTTACACAGAGGATTTCTAATGCACCTTACCTCTGTAGGAGGCCTAGGAAGTCCTTGACGTTCTGGCAAAGGAAACATACCTTGGATAAAAGAGATGTAGAAAGTAGTTAATCATCTTGTGCCCTAGTATTCTACATTGTATATAATGCAAAAAAAGTAAATGGTTTTAATAAATAAACCAGAATCTGAGCTGTTACTCATATATGGTTGCAAATATAGAGCAAGTTAGCGAATGGAAGCTAAAAATGTTTATTACATATACCAGAATGTGGGCTGTAACTTACAAACAGCTGCTAATTAGGGATAAGCTTTGGGTTCGGGTAGATCATGGGTCTGACCTGAACTCAAGTCATTTACAGTTCAGTAAAGCGGCAAACTATTGTGGGTGTTCACTGCTATAGTATCCAAACACCAATCATGCATTTTATGGCCTTGGAATTTGAGTCAGGTGGCGTAGAAGGGCTATTAATGGATGCAATTATTGTATCCCAGGATGCAATGCTTGAGCACGACTACATCATTTGTGCCAAAGTGGACCAGGAAGTGGTAGTAAAATAGAAATATGCTTGTTTATTTAATGAATGTAAGATTATTTCATATCAGCATGCAGAGATGTGTGATGATGTGATTTATATTCAAAGAGTGTAAAGATACACTTTAACTGCTTTCTTGATCTGAGTATCAATTGTCATTGTTAGAAGTAGACAGTGGGGTCTATTCACTATGCTGGTACTTCACTTCAGATCGGTCTTTCACTCGGCTGCCTACGGCAGCTTAGTGAATAGACCCCATAGTGAAAACGAGAATTGTGTTCCACTGGTTGACGGTTATAACCCACACCTGGAAGTTCTACAAAACACCTAATTTTGAGAGTTTTAATGAAAAGCCAAACTTCTGTATTACTTACCACTGCCAACACCCATGCTATTGAAGACACTAGAACGTGGGCATGGGTTTGTTAGGACTCTTAAAAGTCCATCAGGCTTGTATGAATAATGCTCGACCAACTGGAAGAAAAAGTTTGTTCTATAAAAAAGTGCAAAAAAACAAACAAAAACATATTCCAATAAAACTAGAAATCACAGATGTGTTTTAATAAGTAGCTCACGTGTGCCCCTAAAAGATAGTTAGTATTTGCTTTTTGGTTCCTATGGATGTTGTTGTTCTGTTAAAAAAAATGGACGAAGAGCTAATCATAGCAAACAATCTGCTGTTAACAAGCAGTTGGAAAATGACTTAAATATCTTCAGCTAGCAACAGCGCCACCAATCTATGATGCAGTTTTTACAAATAACTTAAAATTACTATCTGACACAGAATGAAATGTTTAAAATACAACAGCATATATGATGTCTTTTGAGCTGTAGATGGCGCTGTAGTGCAATGCTAATCTATGCTAGTCTGTATGTTCATGATTTTCTATCATATATACAGGAAGTTCTCTTTGTATGTTGTATTCTGATGTAATGTTCTCTTAGCAAGTACAACTTAATTCAGCATTCTTCAAGATCTCACGGCTTCATCTAAACACATAACCAACACGCAATACCCTATAGAACTTATATAAGAGGTGTATAGCCGAGCAACACAGTTTAGAATGGACTGTAGTGGTACCCATTTATTTATTAAGTTCCAATGAAAATGTTACAAGTCAACCGGGATTTGAAGACAGCATGCTCTATCATTTTAGTTGTATGTTTTTTAAGATTGAAACAACAAGAGTTAACTTCAGGTTAAAAGGACAAGTGCACATTTGGTACACTAAATAAAAGAGCCAAATAAAGTATTACCCTAAGGAACAAGCTAGGGGAGTTGAAGTTATTGAGCTGTTGTCCACAGCAATTGTTATTGGCGGTAAAGAAGTAACCTTAGAGTGGAAAGTTCAGTTTTAGCCATATTAAACTAAATATGACCCAGCCAAAAATGCTATGAAGGCAACAATAGTGCTGAAGTGCTGGTATCTTGTGTTGCCTGCAAGTACCTATATTAGTCCCTGTATCCCTGTATTTCTGTGGAGGTCCTTGTATCATAGGTCCAGGTTCTACACAGGGCCTCAACATCCCTCCAGGTCATGATTAAAGGAGAATTATTGGGTGAGTGAAAAACACTCATCCCCATAATTCAAGCCGACCTGTGAAAAAAGAGAAAAACAATCTGCTTTAAGTGCAGTGACAGCTTTGTAACTGTTTTACATCTTACTAATAAGAGCTGATTGGTGGAGGAACACGTTACAGGATCCTAATGATAAGCAGGTGGTGGTGGCGGTGGCGGTGGCGGTGGTGATGGTGGTAGGGGACTGCACACAGGTCTTCTACTTTATATATGAAAGTGTAAAACCTCTTCAGATGCTCTTAATCATTTTGTCTCAACTTTTTTACTCTGGAGGAATACTTGAAATAATTTTCAGCTCCTAGGGAACCCCTGCAAAAATGTATACCTACAATTCATGGTATATTAGTGTGATCAGTACATTGTAGGTACATTAAAAAAACAAAATAGGGTGCATGGAGAGTGTGACACCCAGAACAGACCATTTATTGACATCCGTTTGTGCAACATGACAAAATTATTTTTAACAATAACCATAAAAAATAATTAATAATAATTTCCAGAAAAGAAACACAGACTGCAAAAACTATAATTTCTCCTTACATTAGTGAACAGTCGAGAAGTTCCCTTTTGCATTAGTGTTCCATTAAATATACACTATTGTTCCATGGAACCCTGGTTCGGAAAGGCTGCTCTAAATGTGCTAACCTATTCCTCTCTCACCCCATGCCCAGGTACAGAATGTAATCATCCTCTCTGTTTTTGTTAATATTTTGGAGCAATGTTCTCCACTCTCACATATTTACCCCTACTACCAATAATTGGTTTAAATAAGATATTTAAAAGTTGCCAATCCATCTCCCTCTCTTTCTTTAGAATTTATTTGATACCCTTCACTTTCAGCTCTACATATTCAGGATCAATTGTTCCCTAATTATCTGAGTGTTTCTTCTATTTGTCTGTAAGTGATTTCATTACAGCTATTAATACTATCCCAATAATTTATTGTTGTATGTATTGCCCAATGCATTTGGCTATTAAGATAATAAGAAATAGGAGAATGTAAGAATATATAAGTACAGATATATCATACCTGCCATAAAGTATCAAATTTCTTCCCTTCTGGTATTGACAATTTTCCAGTTTTGTCACGGTCAATGCGATAATGTGAAACCCTTCTATCATGCAGCAAGCACAGTGCATATGATCCATTACTGTCTCTTTCTCTTATTCTATAATAGTAAAAACAGGATTACTTCTTAGTGGACCATATGAATTATACACATACATGACTTATCAATTAACACTACAGTACTGCCCCTTACCAGTATAAACAGATAACCAGTATCTACTGTCCCTTTTATATTGTAGATATAATGAAGTTCCCCCTCACTTCTGGTATTTTACATGATGAACCCGATGCAGGTAAATCTAATATTGTAGTTAGTCCTTTAAGATACAGTGGCACTCAATAAGTGCTAATAGATCTGAAAGCATGGGCTTTATTCTCCCACACAATTCTACAGCTTTAGGATGGTTCATCTCCCCAACACAGGGCTAATTCAAACTGAATGAAGAAAATGAGAACAGGCACAGAGTTATAGCAACAAATCAGCAATCACTTTTCATTTAATAGAAACGCTAAAAACTTGGATTGGCTGTTATTGACAACAGTTCAACGTGGGGGTCAGCATGTTTACAATTTTCACTATGAGGCCTTTAGTATATAAGAAAAGATTTGCACTCCAAAATAAGTGTGCAAAAATTATAGTATTCTCTCATTTTTGATTTAAAAAAATACCTATTTGTATTGATAGTTTAAAAAAAACAAACCACACATTATTATTTTCAGGGCTGTATGGTGAATTCTGGTGAAGTCCTGTGTTAGTTTGCCATGTCAGGAAACCTCAAAAACAAAGGATTCACCAGTAACCCCTTAGTAGCTCTGAGTCCAAATGTCACCCCTACCCAGGAATGAAATTATGGCTGTGTACAGTCCGCTTGTCTTGGGATTAGCCAAGAACCAATGTTAAGGGTTGCTTGTCCATATCCCCTGCAATCTATGGAGAAATGTATGGTAATATCTTGCATATCAGCAAATAGAACCAGCTACCAACCTATCATCCACTTGCAAGCATAAGGTGCCAGTTGTCTATGCGTCTCTGCAAAAGTCGGAAAGCTGGCTAAACAATGTATTTCCAGTGTGGGAGCCAAAAGTGGACTCTCATTGAAAATGGACACGCTGCGTCCTTAGCTCTAATAATGATGTTTGGAAGCTAAGCAGTAAAATTACTTTTTTTTAAAATCAGTATTCATACATGAGGCCCTTTCAATTTCAATGTGGAACTAAAATAACAATAAAGAATTTAGTAAAAATTATATGTCCTCCCCTGCACTTACACACAGACCTTATCACCAAGTGCAGCTTCTAGCAAAGCAACATAATCTCCGGGCTCAGGTACATGCAACTTAGAATTATATGGACTATTGCTTTGCGAGGTCCAGTGCTGCATTTTACATAATGTTGAGCAGCAGAAGGGAAAGGGGAATATACAAAATGCTTTTTAGAATTTCAGTTCAACTTTAAGTCTATGAAAATATTAATACTCAGTTTCTCTCACAGATAAACAGTGTCTTATTAGACACAGGCCAGTACAGGAAGTGGCATGCTATGAAACCACAGACATTTTAGAGAACCAACATATTATGGTACATTTTAGTTTGTTCATTATAAACTGATAAACCAACAATATATTTCATTCATTTTATTTTATAAGAATACTATACTGATTGTTGTCTGACTGGTGTGACCTGTCTGTTAAAACAACTCTACACATGTACATTCACTGGCCGCTTTATTAGGTACACCTCTTCAACAAATATCTAATCAGCCAATCACATAGCTGTAACTCAATACATTTAGGCATGTAGACATGGTCATGATGGTCTGCTGAAGTTCAAACCGAGCATCAGAATGGGGAAGAAAGGTGATTTCATGTACAGTATAGTATCGCAATAAAGAGGGTTGACATGCATTATCTTGCTTTACTTAAACCCTCTTAATGTATTACTTTAATGCAGTCTAGCTGCATGAAACATTATTATAAATGCCTCTCTTTACTCGTGCTCCAGCTAGGGTTAAGAACCCTATGCTGCCAGCACATAGCAGAGTTGGACCGTGGCTCTCACACACATGCTCTCCTGTGGTCCAACATGTCCTACTGAGCAATGCTCTAATCCAGCGTTTTTCAACCACTGTGCCGCGGCACACTAGTGTGCCGTGAGATATTTTCTGGTGTGCCGTCAATAAATCGTTAATTTCTTTGATCAATCAAAGTTACTCACCTCTCTGCCGGCTTCCGGGTCTTCCTTCGGAGATCCGGTGACGTCACGGACATCGACGTCACCGGACTCCTCCCCCCTTCCCCGAGTGGCTCTGTCGGCTAACGAAGGGAAGGGGGGAGGAGTCGGGTGATGTAGTTGTCCGTGATGGGTAACGAAGGGAAGTAGGGAGGAGTCCGGTGACGTCACGGACATAGACTCCTCCCCCTTCCCTTCGTTACCTGACGGAATCACTTGGGCTGAGTCTCCTCCTCACTCTTGGGCCGGTGAGTCATCGCATGTGTGTACAAGGCAAAATCTGCTACCCTGGTGAGACCCCACAAAGCCATGGGGCTTTTGGGGTTGTGTGGTAATGCTGGGTGTGCCATGAAGGAGTTATTAAAGTGATCATTAAAGTGTGACTCATTCTAACCGCAGAGGGCAGAACCAAATGTAAAGCCCCCCCCCCCCAACCCGGCTTCCTAGGAAAGAGAAGGGGGTGAAGGTGTTTCCCCCCGGAGTGTGGTGAGACCCCCTATGAGCCCTGGTGAGACCCCACAAAGCCATGGTGAGACCCCATGGAGCCCTGGTGAGACCAGGGCTCTGTGGGATCTTGCCAGGGCTCTGTGGGGTCTTGCCAGGGCCCTGAGGGGTCTCACCAGGCTGGTGAAATCGCACATAGCCATGGTGGGACCCCATAGAGCCCCGTGTGAGACCCTACGGAGCCCTGGTGCTGGTGAGACCCTACAAAGCCCGGGTTTAACCAGGGCAGTGTGGGATCTCACCAGGGCTCTGAGGGGTCTAACCAGGCTGGTGAGACCCCCACATAGCTCTGGTGAGACCCTACAGAGCCCTGGTTAAAGCAGGGCTTGGTAGGGTCTCACCAGGGCTCTGTGGGGTTTAACCAAGACTAGTGAGACCCCACTGAACCCTACTTTAACCAGGGCTACGTCAGTGCTACAGTTTGAATTTAAAACGTATTTGTGTGAAGTGTGAAGTTAAGTCATGGATTGAACAGAAATATGAACAATTATAAAATACTTTATTATTTCATAATAAAGTAATTATAAAATAATTTCTTTGTGTTTATTTGATTCCTATTCAAGAGAATTACTTTATATATATAGTCAATATAGGCACAGAGGTAAATTTTTTTAACATTTTCTAATGGTGGTGTGCCTCGTGATTTTTTTCATGAAAAAAGTGTGTCTTTGCACAAAAAAGGTTGAAAAACACTGCTCTAATCTATAATGCTCTTGCTTCATCAGCAGAGCTGATGAGTAGAGCAATGTTCAGTGAGGAGTTTCTGAAAGATGGGCTTCTGTGACTCTCCTATTGATGTAAGAGGTTTTTTTTAACCCTTTCTATAGGACATAGCAGATAATAAAGAGGCATATTAATTACTGTATTTGCAGCCTGACTGCATTTCAGTAATAACTTTTGATTGGGCTTTAAAGGGTATCTATGGTTTATATTGAATTTCCATAAGTTCTATTCAACTCCTAATAACCATATTGATTTTAGTAGTTTGTAAACTTATTATCGAAGATGCCCATAGGATGTACATCCTCAGAACAGTGACACAATGTCACTTAGCCCTGTGAATATGCACTTTCTTGTGCCACCACTCTAAGCCTGTTGTCTGAACTACAATGCAACAGCTGAACTTTCCACAACGTATCACCATTATTGCCTGCTGGAAGCAATGCCTGATGAGATATGTAGTCTTGAGAAATCAAGATTGTATCACATTGAGCAGCAGAGAAAGAGAAGCGAAGCACAGAGAATCCAGGAAGTTGATGAAAGTGAGGGGCAGACAGAAAGCAGCACTCACTACGTAAAAGAGATTTTTTTTAATGTAAGCTTTGATTGCATTATAAAAAACAACTATAATATGTATTCCTATTACAATGCTGATGTTATAACAGAATAGTATGTGCTATAACTTTAAAACTCCTTTAATAGCAAATGTGAATAATCAAATAGCCTGGGTTCAGATTTAACACAAATTAGGAAGGGTCACTCTAAGCAGAAATTCATACGTTTTTGGCATTAACTGCAAAATAATTTTTTACTGCGTGGGAATGGAAAGTGGGATCACTTTGCTGCACCCCTGCCTGCTTTACCTGTCCTTTAGGCCAATGCCATAGCTGTAAAAGAGCTTGAATCACTGGATACAACACTGTTTTTTTAAATCACTACAGGAGCAAGTTTATTGTTTTGTGGGCATAAATGGAGCTCAACACATATCATTGCTGTGGTGCTGCTCAGAGCTTTCACTGCTACTCATGCAGTTTGTGCTCAATGCATCAATAGTGTATTGTCCTGTTTCACTACAATATCTGTCACTATCAACATTTGCCACAAAATCGCTAACAGGCATTTACAACCTGTTAGTACCAGCTGTTAGTAATTCTTGGTATCACTTCTCTAAACCGCTCATTGTGGTGAAAAGGCCATTACCACACAAGCTCTGTAAACATGGGATATGCTTTTTAGTTGCTTCTTAGCTGCTTCTCAGTGACTATGAGGTGCTTTTTGGTTGCATGTACATTTATTTATTTTATTTTTAGTTGTTTTTGACTTGAGTGGCTAGGAAAAGATAGGGAAATTTGAGAGGTGTTCACCATACCTGTGTCATTGTTGTTTATGTGTTATCCGACCAATCAGGAAGGCGGGCGGCAAGTCATTACACGCTGCACGGCTTCCTGATTGGCCGGGAAGCCGACTCCATGCTTCCTCATTATTAGGTGACAAGGAAGCATGGAGTCGGCTTTCTGGCCAATCAGGAAGCTGGGGGGCGGGTAATTACTCGCTGCCCAGCTTCCTGATTGGCCAGCTTCCCAACCAATCAGGATCCGAGCAGTGAGTCATTACACGTCACCCAACTTCCTGATTGGCCAGGAAGCCG